GGCGCGGGCGGGGGACGGGGCCGGGCGGCGGTGGGGCGAGCTGTGGGGGAGGGTGGGGGCTGCCTTTTGAAACGGCCGGAGCTCCATCGGGGGGAGGGATGGAAGGCAGGTGGAGAGGGGGGAGGGGGAGGAGGAGGAGGTGGAGGCCAGGGAGGCGCCCCTGGGTTTTGTATCGCGAGATCTCCTTGTCGGCTTACAGCGTTTGGCACGGCGATTCATGCCGCGTCGACACGTCCAGCCTGTTCGCCTCGCGATGAGGTGGCCCTTTTGTTCCCTTGCGACGTGGAACGGCAGAAACCCCGCTGCCTGCCGTTGTCACCGTCAGAACTCAAAAGCTTCGGTTTCAAACTGCGAAATTCCTAAATCAGGGAGAAATCACGGGGTAGAAAGCCATGCTTCCATGCGGGAAATGTGGGGAAACGGCCAAATTTTACGGGTCAATGATAATGATTTGTAGTGTCCATTGCAACAGTTTCATGTCGACCACCCTATAGGATTATTATTAGCAAGTACTGTCCTTTTTTTTCATGCCGACCATACTGAACAAACATCGTTAAAAGTCTGAAATAAATTAAAAAAATATATACATCAATGAGAACTTGCATTCTTGTGAGCTGGTTTCACCGGAAAGTACCCAATCATCCGAGGGCTTAGTGTCAGGCCTAAATGATAATGTCTTTCATTGTCCATTGCGACACTTGTACTATTTCCATGCCGACCACCCTGAAAGGAGCATTATTTTTTCTCAAACAAGATTATCATCAACCACTCTGTACTCTACGGGTGGTTGGCTTCAGGATTGCCGATGAGGCATGGCGCGTCATTAGTGCTAGGTATACCTGTACTAGTATAGTGTCATCGCCTTGTCGACATGCAGCTGGACGGTACGACGTCAACCGAAACGTGATGTGGCCGACATACACGTCACAGTTTGGTTCGGCCGGTACTCTCGCGTGCACGACACGCGCGCCGGCCAATCGCAGGCTTCCGCGTGGCCCTGCCACGTAGTCCACATACCCCGGTGTCTACCGCGTATCCGTCTCTTCCTCTTCGGCTGTCGACTCGGGCCAGGGCACGCCTTTCCTCGTCGGTCTTGGAGTCGGAGACCGAGCCGATTCCCGAATCTCGAGGCGGCGCCAGACAAATAGCCACCGCCCAACGGCCCAGGTGCGAACCGGCCCGACTAGAGAGACCCTGCGTCCTCCTTCCTGCGCCGCAATTCGCCCGAGCGACTTCGCGCGACTCCTTTCGCTCCCTCCTCCTCCTCCGGATTGCGGCGCGACGGCGGCCGTGAGCGCGCGGTGCTCCTCCTCCTCCTCCTCCACGCCCTCGCGCCCAGATCCGGCCCCCAATGGCGAGGAACCCGGCCTGCAGCGTCTACGTAGGTGAGCCCCCTTCGCGTCGCGCTCCCCTCCTGCGGTCCTGCCCGCGTAACCGCCGCGTCCCGTTTGGTTCGGATTGAATTAGATGCGTGCCCTAATTTCTAGGGGTTTGGTCGATGTGCGTCTCGGTGGTCGATTGATTAGTCGCGCTAGGGTTATAGTGCGTGCGGGGAGAAGTGTAGATTAGAACGGTGCAATTGCGATTCATCCCCTTTTGCGCTTTCAGGCTTGTTTAGTGCCTGCTATGTATGAAGTATCACAATGTTATCCTGGTGCCACCGGTTGGTATTAGTAAAACAATTCTTCTGTGAGGGTGTTATCTGTTGTTGTACTTGTGGTTGTCGTTTGTTACATGTCAGCATGCGATGGTTATATAGTTCTAATTTGCCGGCCAAATGATTCCTGGTGAGCCATGACACTGCCATCTGTAGGTCGAGTTGCTAGTTATGTTGGTTGATAAAAAAAAACAGTAAACAACCTCGAAGGTTTGTTTCATGTTGCTGCAGTGTGCTCTGCAGGCATTGCAGTATAATTATCCTTAATGGTTGTGTTTTGGACAAAGAGCATTTCGAGTTTTGCACATGTATTTGGGGAATTACCTGACATGGAGACAAATTGACTCTTGCATTACCTGGAATAATAATCGCATAGCTGGGTCTGTTTGGGTAGCGCTCTTTTATCACTGTCTAGTTTTCTCGGTCACTTTCATAGGTTGTTACACTCTGTTTGCTGTTCTGAGGCATCACTGATTCACTGTATGCATATGGTGTTCTCTCTGGGCAATCCTAGTGTTCGGTCCTTTTTCTATGATTTATGTAACATCCCTGTACACATCTTACTACAGTCTGTTGTATTACTTAAGCAATGTTTTGTGTTGTATTAATTCTATGACCTGTTTTTCTCAACAGGCAACTTGGATGAGAAGGTCCCTGAAAGAGTCTTGTATGAGATTCTTATTCAGGCCGGTCATGTAGTAGACCTACACATACCATGTGACAAAGAAACTGGGCGTCCCAAAGGTTTTGCTTTTGCTGAGTATGAGACAGAGGCAGTTGCTCAGTATGCTGTTAGACTTTTTTCAGGACTTGTTAGGCTTAATGGTAAAACACTTAAATTTGCGGTATGTTTCTTCTTTTGTGATCTTCAATATAGATATGCTACATCTGTACGATCATTACCTTGCAAATTAACACTGGTTACAAATTGCAACTTGATTGGAACACACTAATTGTTGCCCTTACTTCTTATAACCGTGTATACATATGTGTGTTTTGTATTAATATAAGCAAGGTCTAATCCCTAAATTCGTATCAATTTTGACAGCTTTCCGGACAAGACAAGCCGTCATCAAATGGCAATAATCCAGTAATGCCTAAACTCAACCCTATACCATTACCAAAGCAGCCTCAGTTTGTGCATTCTAGTGATACACTTGTGTCGCATAAACCAGCATATCCGGTGGTAAATGGTGGGATTCCACATAATGGTTTTTCACAAGGCTATCATCCTTACAATGTTCACCCTCAAGGTGAGGCTATTTCCTAGGTCTGTTTATACATATTCCAGGATACATGACTTGATCTCATTGTGTTCTATTGTTTTCTCCTTTCACCAGCATTACCACCTCGACCCGTGCATGGGCACCGAGAGTTTGTCCATGGTACGTATGGTTACAACAGTCATGTATATGGTTCTGTTCTGAATGCTAGCTATGGAGGTTATGTTGTGAATGCTGTTGGTCATGGAGCTATGAGGCAACCAATTATTTACCCATCCTACTAGGCAGTAGGCACCAAAGAGCGGGAGCGGGTATAAAAAGTATGCAGGTTAAATGTAGCTTCTTAGTTCCTTGAATTCTCAGTAGCATCTTGTTTGTACCCTTGCACTTCATTTCCATGCATGTATATAGGGCTGGTATATCCGTTTTATCAACAGTAAGTTGGCAACGGAAGGCTCTGCCCAGTACATTGTACACCCTTTGTACTTGTCTAGAAGATAGCCTGCTAGATCTGTTCTCTTCCTTGGAAAATAAAGAAATGCAATAGCGGGGGCTGTTGCACCCCTGCTGACTCACGTATTAATGATCATATGCGTGGATGATTTGAGTTATTCCTAAAGTGCCTTGCTATGTACTCGAATGATCATTGCTGTTACTTACCCAGCAGATGTTGATGTCTCGGCTCCGAGGCCCCATATAATCATAAGTTCAAGTAAACTGTCCTATGTTTGTGTCCCTGCCTATCATCACAGAATTTAACCTCCATCAGGGACAACTAAATTTCTGGAATGCAATAGCACCTTGTTGTATTACTTGGCTCTATAGCTTTGTTGTTTGTGATTTCTGTGCTTAGGTGTCATTGCTTGGCTGGTATATCCGTTTTATCGACGGTAAATTGGCAACTGAAGGCTCTGCCCAGTACATCTCCTTCCTTTTCTTTAATCCCTGTCTAACAGATAGCTTGGTAGATCTTTTCTTTTCCTGGGAATCAAAGAAATGCAACATTGCTGGCCGTTTTCATGGCCTCTGGCTCGCGGATTAATGATCATATCAATGGATGATTTGAGTTATTATTCTTAAAGCTCCTTGTTGTGCACTCGAATGATCATTGCTCTTGCCCAGATTTCTCAGCTCTGGAGCCACGTATAATTATGAAGTCAAGTAACTTCCTGTGTTTGTGGCCCTGCTTATCAACACAGTTGAATCCCCATCATGGACAACTAAGTTTCTGGAATGTAGGCTTACCCACCAACCCTATATTGTTATTGTATTATACTCCCTCCGTTCCAAATTACTCGTCGTGGTTTTAGTTCAATTTGAACTAAAACCACGACGAGTAATTTGAAACGGAGGGAGTATATACTTGGCTCAATAGCTTCGTTGTTTTGTGATTTCTGTGCTAAGGTGTCATTGCTGGTTTTTGTCTTTTAGCCTAGAAACTTTGCTGTTAGGTGAAGGATAAAATATGTTGCGTGGTGTGTTGACAAGTTTGTTCTTTTTCCTACTAGTGATGTTCCACCTATCCTCTTATGTGTAATACTACTAACAGGTGACTTGTTCAGATTTGTCACTGTCCAGACCACCTAAAAACTAGCCTCTATGTTACTCTTGTGAAAGCACTAAATTTGACTCGTGAACGTTTTGACTCACCTAACCCCAAAGTATCTTATCATCGGACGAAAATTCTACAGCAAAAATACTTTTCTTCTCAAATCGCAACAGCAGACCCCTTAAAGCCTTCTCCAAGGCCGAAAACCACACTTGAAGGCATGCATCATTTTGCATCAAGATGGCGCGCTTCTCATTGCTTCCCTCCTCAAGTAAGTTATCTCTAATGCTCTCTACGTCTAGGGCTTCTTTCCTTGTCTGCTTGTTTATCCTTTAGCCACAACCGCCGTACAAGGCACATATCCTCTCTGCCTTTTCTGCTGCAGCTCCAACATTATATGAAAACCGAAATCATCTCTGCATAAAGACTGCTACTGCAGCAGCTTTACTCTGCGCCGTTTGTCTCCAAAACTTTTGCATCTCTCATCTGTGATACCAGCACATGTTGGTTTGAAGCTGCCCCTTGGCATTCCAAGGTCACAACCTCCACAGCCAGCCACGTACATGTAGTCTCTCCTCGACGCAAATCTCTTCCGAGTTTGCATGATCTCTCGCCGATCAAACCCGAGCGGCTTCGTCGTCTCAAGACTGGAGGCCATGAAGGAGGCCGCCGCCGGCGCCAGCGAAGGTGACGGCCTGGAGTCCAGCGTCTTCTTCTGCGTGGCCGTGACGTCCAGGGGCAAGGACAGGCTATCGTACTTCCGCTCCAGCGAGGTTGGCGAGGACGCGGAGGCGTCCCGTGCGCTGGCGGCGCTCTGCCTCGACCACGCGCCGGAGCACCACCAATGGCACCACCACACCTACGACGGCAGGCGCACGTTCGCGGTCCTTGCAGCTGACGACGGCCGCACGTACCTCGCCGTCGCGGAGCCCACGCCGGGCAGCACCGAGGTCGTCCGCTTCCTGGAGCGCGTCCGTGACACGTGCGGTTCCGCGCCGAGGAGGAGGCTGCGCGACGAAGCAGTGTCCGGCCTTGTGCGGCAGTTCGTGCAAACGCTGCAGGCCGGGATGAGCTCCTCCGCGGCTGCAAACTCGGTGATGCTCCCCGGCGACGGTTCATGGAGCGAGCACACGTCCGACAAGGACGAGGAGGCGCTGCCGGAGGAAGGCGCGCCACGCAGGCGGCCAGCACGGCCCTCCTGGAGGCGCACGTGGTGGCGGCGCCACGCCATGGCCGTGATCGGCGTGGACGTGGTGCTGTGCCTGGTGCTGTTCGGCGTGTGGATGGCGGTGTGCCATGGGTTCAGCTGCGTGCAGCGATGAAGCACATCATCTGAGATCGTGATTACGTGCATGTGCATACCGTCCACGAAGGCTTCTACGTCGTCTTTCTTATTGTACTTCACCAGCTAGCTAGCGACTAGCTAGATCCATCTAGGGAAGAAACTAAGGTCCGAGCTTAGCTTGTTGCTGCTCGACGATTAATTTAATTACCTCATGCTGAGAAACATATCGAGATATCTCATGCTTCGTTCATCGTCATGTGTAAAATCGTGGAAGTGGTCATCTTCATGTCCAAATAACAAATGGCAGAAGATTGTTGTGAATTGTCAGCTCATCTTTGGAACGATGCCGTGTCTTTCAGCGGGTCGCGGCATCTGTCGGCATGTCTTCTTTTATGCAGCCGGCCTGTCACAAGTTTGTGCTATGCTACCGAAATTTGTTCAGGACTTTCAGGTGCACCAGAAAACAGTGCTCAATAGCGTACTGCTGCAGCTGTTCAAGTCCTCGGGAGGCAGCTTTCAAGCATCTGGCTCTGCTGCTTACGCACGTCTGCAGACGGCAACTCCATGAAATCTCTCTTGTCATGACAATGGCGCGATGCTTGTGATAATCCAGTAGAGAACAGCGTGAATTGCTTTTTTTTTGCTGAGGTATTTAGGGTGATTGTGTACTTTGTTTTTTGGGCCAGTGCTAGCCGCAAAGTACACAATGCAATGTATTTGGGCCATTTGCAGACCCATTGGGCCCAGGTACCGATAGTATCCGGCATGCGAGTCTATGGAGCGATTATACATGAAATAGCAGAACATAGGTCAAATTTTCATACTTGTAATATTGGTCATGAGTTTAGGAGCTCGAATGTCGAGGCTTACAAGCTTGCGAAGCACGCTTTATCCCTACCAGCTGGCCGGCATGTTTGGCTAGGTCAGCCGGATGGACTCTATTTCGTCCGTGTAAACATTGTCACGGTGTAATAAAAGCTTCGAAGTTTGTCTAAAAAAAATGCGAGTTGTTGGCCTGGGGTAGTTGACGAATGATTCCAAAGAAAAAGGTAGTAGTTGATGAATGGCAATCAATCGAGACCGCCTACGAAAAAATAACTGACCCCTTTTTTACATAAACAATGCAAAAGAAAAAATAACCCTACCAACCTATGACTTTGACGGAAGATCTGCGTCAACTTTGTTGCTGTACCAGTACGAGCATCTCTTTTCCTCCAAAAAGAAACAATAAAAAAGTTAGAAAATGCGGCAACTTTCGCAGCTCGTTGCTGTCGAATTTGAACGAAACATATTTTTAAGAGAGAAGATCAGAATCTGAATTAAACGGGGCCATTCTAGGTGGGATTGAGCTGTGGCTTCTCTTGGGTAATCGGTGCATGGGTCCGGTGCTGGGAAACTAGGAACCCAAGGGCCTCATTCGGTTTGAAGGATTTTCATAGAAAAAACATAGAAACAAGGATCCCAGAGAAAAAATTTCTATAGATGCATTCGATTTGTAGGAAATGCGTATAGGAATTTCATAGGAATACTATTCATTTTCTATGTTTTTGGAGAAAACTACACATTCACTTCAAGCTCATTTTAGGATGCCATCTTATCAAATTCCTATATACTACTCATAATTCTTACGTTTTGGTTTCGTTCAAAACGAACGATCCCTAGAATGAATAATCTTGCTGGGACATGGCGATCATATCAAGGTTAAGCAACTTGCTACTACCTAATGGACTTATTCACCGCATACCTGGTGCTGCACCGGCTGGGATGCCAAGTAAAATCTTGCATTTGAAATGGGAAACTACATCAAGTACCCCCGCTGACACTGAGCAAGGCAAAGCTCCCTCTCTCTGGTAAAGAGCGGGCACGGCAACCCTTTGCCCGGCCATGGATCACGTGCAGTCATGATGATGATGGCCATCAAAACCAACAGTCGCGCTCGGTCACGAAGCTGCAGGCTGCCGGATGCGGCAGCGTGCGTCATGAATCGCTTTGCTACGCGTCAGAATAACGGTCTCGGGTCTCCTCCCCCAGATCTGTTGCCGTGGACTGTACCTGCTGGACTGGGCGCTAGCTGTGACTGCGACCGTCAGTATTCTATTGCTGGATCCATGGCGCTGTGTCGCTCAAGCTTTCCGCTGCCATGTTCTTCTCCTGCAACCTGCCGGTGGTGGTGGCGGTGGCGGTGGTGCGTCCGGTGATAGTGCTAGCTGTCGCCTCCCCCTCCGGTCAAACAAGCCTGGATCCCTCCCCATCCTTACAGTTGGAACCAGCTGCCACCGACTATTTTATACCGATGCCAGGCCCAGCCCCAGAGCGAGGTGAAAGCGCCGGAGGTTGTGTGTGAGAATGTTTGGTCTGGAACTGCAAAGCGGGCGGGACGGTTGATTGCTGGTAACACGGACGGTGGCCATGTTTCTCAGTTTCATTCAGATGATGCAAGAGTCTGGCTA